ATTCCTCCTCCCCTGAACACATATTTATAACTCCTGCAGCAACTAAGCAGGCTTGTCTGATGGGAATGAAGGGTTCTGGCCAGCCCAACTTCTTCAGGTGAACTGGCCTGTAAAAGAGTGGGAAGCTAACCAGTCCACAAGAGTTGAAGCTCTTACCAGCACTCAACTTCTGGTGATCTCTGCTGACAAAGGATCTCACTGAATCAGGAGTATTCTCATGTTATGATAGATGCATAGATGCTGTGATGATGGAAGGTGTTAGAAACACATGAGATAGCAGAAGTTGTGCATATATTTAATAAATTACTTAAGCACCTCCAAGAGGGACAAACTATTTAAAATTTAAAAAAAAAAAAAGAAAAAAAGAAAAAAATTCTCTGTCAGAAATATTCTAGATTATAGTGGACCATAGTAAAAAATTCTAGATATGTATTCTCATGCTTTGGCTGCACACAGGTTGTAATTACAAAGTGATTACTTCACATAAGCAGCTGGAAAAGCCAGTTCTCTTTTTATTACTATCATCTATACACTGCCCATTAGTACCATAAACCAGAATTGTATGCTGCAATGTAAACAACACAGAATGAAAGAAACAAACAAGTTGAATGTAAAGGTGAGAATATTCTTTGTAGTTGTTCCATTTCTGCTTGGAAGATAGCAAATACAAAAGAATAAGTCATTTTATCATGTTTGTATACAATCAGAGATACTAAGACTAGTTTCTATAATGAATTAAAATCAGCATGTTGCAAAATGTGTTAGTTTCTTCAGCATCAAAATCAGGCATGGAGAACATTATAAATAGCTGGAGTCACTGAAGAAAAGGTCTTTCATAGGTAAATATATTGAGTCATAACACTGTACTGACAATCCATACAAATGTGGCAGTCTAGTAAGAAATATTCATAACAAGATATTAACTATTAAGAGCTTGATCCAAATCTTCATAAGGACCGAAGTACTGGTTTGGCATGACTAAATAATAAAATTCAAAACAGAGGTTATGCCCTTTTTTTATTTTTGCAAAGTTATGTTGGACCGGTAGCTCTCATTTGTATTCTTTTCATCTTTTGGTGCCTGGCACTAATATCACTACGGCATATAGAAAGAACAGAAGTTTAGGCCTACTAAATATCCCAGGATCTTCTTGCCAGTGCATTGCACACATCAATGAAGACTTCCAAGATGAATCAAAAAGCAATTATCAAATATATTCTCAACTTAGTCAACTCTACTTTGAGCAAGTGTCCGTATCATGAAAATCAGCACCAGAACTATCATCTTTCGCTATGTTTTCACATCTTCTCAGGGGCAAGGACAGAATAACCAGTGAAAACCAAAGTCCTTTTCGATGTTAGGAAAAGGACCTGCTGAGAAAGCAAAGGGATATATTTCACCAGTCTGTGTTAATGCTGCATTGTTTTGGGATTATGTTCTTTGGTGAACACTGCTCTTCATGTGACCTCTCATGATGTTACTGTTATTTTTTCAGTTATACTATACCTGTACAACCACTCAAATATTTTATGATTGCCCTAAAATATACAACTTACACATCATGAGTATACTGTCCATACAGTTCCTTTACTTTGAAAAATACAGAATCTCTTGAGTGAACTCCCTATTCTCTTTGCCTTTGAACAGGGAAAGATTTTGGAAAATATTGGCATCTGCAGTCAGGTTAGCTTTGTCCGGTACATGCAAGGTAGAAAGACTCTAGGAGTGGACCCTAAGCTCTTCATCAAGGACCTGTGGTTTGAGAAAGTGCCTGTAAGGATTTATCATCCTAAGGTTCCATCTGCCAGGCGAAGGAGAGGAGTCATGTTTTTCCATGGAGGAGGATGGGTATTTGGAAGTCTTGGTAAGATATCTAACAGAAAAAATATTATAATTTAGTTAAAGAAGTATCCACTTCATAAATGGCAAAGTTGATTGTTGCTTTATCCGTAGCAGTTACAAAGTTCGAGTATAACCACAGATGCACTCTCCTAAGTCTTGCTGTCAGAAGAAAGCATCTGCTGTGCATTATGTGCATTTTTCTTAAAGACAAGGACAATGAGATATGAAGGGAAAAAATACAGTAAGCAAATACTGAAATAGGAAGATCAGAGGGTACAAAAGATACGATAAGCTATGTAGGAAGGGGCAGAGAAAAGTAGAGAGTATTTTCTTCTTGCAATTCTTTGACTTATGCAATAGACAACATTAGTACTCTGGCAAAAAAAAAAAACAAACCAAAACAAACCCAAAACCCACCAAATATGTTTCTTTCAGAGACCCATGAAAAGCTATGCCGCTCTATTGCTAGAGAAAGTGAATCAGTGGTTGTATCTGTTGGGTGAGTCTTTCCTCATGCTGTTTTTTAGAGATTATTTCCTACAGTGTAAATACCACCTTATAGCTTCCCCGATCATAGCAACAACCATTTTCAGAGAAATGTTTCTGTGGGACTTATCAATAAATGTTTTCAAATTCTAAACTCAAAATTGATAGTAAACAGACAGTAAGCCACATATTCTACTTAATCCTTATTCAAGGAAACTCTGCTTGATGTTTACAGAAGCATTATGTGAATGACAAGCTAATATCATCATCAATATACTGACATAACAATTTGGATTATGAGGACATAGTTGCACTGTAACAAAGATATAAAACAGAAGTATTATCATCCGACACATGGAAAGCTAAAGCATAAACCGACTAAATGACTGTCAATAAAACCTAGACATAGTTGGCAGCTGAGTACTCCTGTGTTGTTAAAGACCTGAGGAAACATCCTAAACAGATGATATCCTAACAAGTTAATCTGCACCACCTGGTCCAACTAGCTGCAGTTTATTTTTGACAACCTGTGGAGAAAGGGAAAATTCTGAAGTAATCAGTGTATTGCTGGTTGCAGGAACCAGTATTTTCAGCAATACATTTAAAACTAGTATTTTCCTCTCGTACTTTCATTGTCTCCTTTTGTGTATTAGGTATCGTTTAGCTCCTGAACACAAATACCCTGCCGCATATGAAGACTGTCTTAATGCTACCATACACTTTATGAAGAATATAGAGCACTATGGCGTGGATCCTGCCAATGTAATTGTCTGCGGGGACAGTGCTGGGGGCAATCTAGCAGCTGCTGTTAGCCAGACCCTTGCAAGTAGATCCGACCTCCCCAAACTACGTGCTCAGATCTTGATCTACCCAGGCCTTCAGGCACTGGACTTCAATTTACCATCCTATCAGCAGAATCGGGGAGTCCCTCTCTTATTCCGAGAACGTGCTGCTTTCTACCTGTTACAGTACCTAAATGGGAATGCATCAAATCTGGAAGAGGTCTTGCAGGGTTCCCATATTCCTATAGATATTAAATTAAATTATAGGAAGTGGGTGAGTCCAGATAACATCCCCGAAAAATTTAAGGTCAGAGGCTACAAACAACATGTGCTACTCGACTGTACAAACGAAGTTTATGAGACAGTGAAAAGATTCTGTGAGCCCAACCTGTGTCCACTGTTAGCTGAAGATGCTATTATTCACGAGCTGCCTGAGTCTTTCATCTTGACTTGCGAGTATGATGTGCTGAGGGACGACGGCTTGCTTTACAAGAAGAGATTGGAGGACAACGGTGTTCGAGTCACCTGGTACCACCTTGAGGATGGATTCCATGGAATCATAAATACATTTAATAGTGACTGGTTGTCATTTTCATCTGGAAAAAGGGGTCTTGACAATATCGTGAACTTTCTAAAAAGCTTATAGAATCAATTTTCTTTCTTTCTATAAGAACTGCCAATTTTCTGCAGTCTTTTATGCTTCTAAATTCCATGTAAGAGGTTTAGATAGGACAAATAAGCAATTATGCCAGTGTGACCACTGAAAAAGATATTTCAAGAATGTTATGGAAGTTTCTTTTAGTGCTGTTTGAAGTATTCCTTGTGCAGTCTGCCTATTTTAATGATCTATTTGGACTAGTCACTTGCTACTCTCTCAGTAAATATTAAAGATGCAGTAAAGTTTTAAATCAACATCTGGCCTGACCCATTTTATTCAATTATGATCTATGGTTTCATTCTTTCTAGAAGGCTAAGTGTGTTTTGGCAAAGGAGAAAGATACTGATATTACAAAGCTGTAACGCAGTGCCTGTGCTATATGCTACCTGTAGCCTCTGAGTCTAAGATTCCCAGTCACCGACTTGCAGAAAATTTCTATGGGCCTAGGTAACTGGTATTTTAGACTTGAAAAAATGAAGTCAAAACTGCAACTGTCCCCAACAGAGATACTCTATTAACAGCTTTGTGTAAATTACAATGGAGGAAATGCTCTAAGTGTTTTCCTATGTTTATCAAACATACAAGTATGCTGAAAAACTTGTTCCTGTGCTTAAATAACAACAAAATAAGATTGATGCATTTACTTTTGCAGAGCACACGCTAGCTTTTTGTTTTCCTCATGTTAGTTCCTTTTCTTTTCTAAATATCCTTGTTAAAACTATATATTCCAAACTATTTAAAGAACGTCCACAATACAGGAAGCAATATGTTGTGGCTGCAGATCAGATGCAAGAGGCAATTTAATCTCCATAGTAGCTGGCTCTCCATGTAAATAGCAACCCGTCATAACCTAGAACTTCATTCACTACTTAACTGCTATCTCAGTCATTCGTATCATCCACAATCCAAGAATACCATGCAGAATACCAGGCCCTGTATCAGTCCCACAATTAAGGTGAAGCTAAACAGGAAATTAAACACATTCTTCTCTGCCTCTTCTCCAATGTGATGCGTGCTGGCACCTTGCACAACATTTCCAAGGACTTTAAAGTGTGTGGCACCTGAGAGATCTGTCGTAACTTGGACTGCTCTAAGGTTTACTGTTACCTGAGAAAGCTGAATCAAAGATAGGCATAAAGACACCTCACCTTTGGTTAAGTGAAATGTCATTTTTTTATATACTGCCAGTGATACTGCTGGTGATTTTTACTGCTTCATTCATACTAGCAATTATGGGAACAATTCAATCCAAGTACTCCAACGTCAGTATCCCTCCTGGAGTGAATCATCCTGGAAAGCTTCAAATTGTCCTTGCTTCTATGATTACTACATCTGCTATGGTGAGTTACTCTGCCATGATTTCTGCCAGAAATGTGGTTAAGGTGTTATTTTTGTAAGGTTATATGTGTAAATACCAGAATCCTGCTGGCTGCATCAAGACTTAAATGAAGGCTTTCTTTTTTTGGGGGGTGACTTTAGGGGCCAATTTTTGTAAAATCATTTCTGTTAGACTTCACATAGTTTCAGTCAGGTTTTCCCTATTATACAGGGATGAAGCCAACTGTAAGAGTCCAAGCTTTATCAGCTGAGCTTCCCTAATTCAGTTTAAATTATTTATTTATAAAAAGTGAGATTTTCATTTCCATTTTAGCTAAGCACAGATGATATCTTTAAGCCATTCTTGGGGCTTTCCAGTAACACTGATGGAAGGCTGGGTGCTTCTTAAGCAGATAAAACCCACTCACGGGAAACCTTAGAGGAATTGACACCTGGGTTACAAGCCTGTAAGTGGTGGGAAGCTGGTATGAAACCCCAGGACTTGGTGATGCTGAGAAGGAAACACCTTTTTTTCTCCCCTACGACCAAGCGTGAGTCGGACGTGTGCGCCTACCTGCTCAGGTGCATCGTGCCAAAGCAACCACGCTCATCCAGGCATGTACCTCACCGCCACGGCTCCATCTTCTCCTGTGCCAGCTTTCTGGTGAGGACCAAACCAGTGTGGCCGCTAAAGGCGAGGGTAGAGGGGAGCGGCTCTGGAGCAGGCTGAATGCTGCCAACACGAAGCCCGGGTACTCCCTCAGGCCTCCAGTGGCTGGGGGAAGGCAGGCGCGGGGTCTCCCTCACAGCAACCTGCCTGGCATGGTGCGTGGCAACCTCCCCCGAGGCGGCCCGTGGCTGCTGGCTGCCCCCGGGGAGGCTGCCCTCCGCTCAGCTGGGCTCTCCTCCCTCTCTTCCAACAGGGGAAGATTTTGGAAAAGATGGGGGTGTGCAGCGAGATCACCTTCACCCGCTACATCCACTCCGGGGTGAAGCTGGGGCCGGACCCGCAGCTCTCGCTGGAGGACGCGCGGTTTGGCCAGGTGCCGGTGAGGGTCTACCGGCCGCGCGCCCTATCTGCCTGCCTGCGGGCGGGCGCCATCTTCTTCCACGGCGGCGGCTGGCTGTACTGCAGCATTGGTAGGGCGGGCCGAGTCATTTTCCCCCATGCACAGCGCAGCTATGCACTGCCGCTGCTATCTTCTGGAGGCAGGGGGAATAAATCTGTCCCGAAACCTGGCAGAAGGTCCGAAATGTGGCTGAGCTTTCTTTGGCCAGCTTAGTGCTCTTGGTGAACCACTGCTGCCTGCCTTGAGGGGAGGAGGCAGGGCTCAGGGGAAGAGGGACAAGGGGAGGCAAAGTGGTGTGTGAGGGTCGGGAAGGGCATGGCCAGTGCGGGAAAAGGAGGCTTCCACTTTCCTTGGCTGTTGCATCTGGAAACAGAGCGCACAACTAACAACCCCCCAACTTTTTGCAGATTCCTATGAAAAGATCTGCCGTTACATTGCTAGAGAAAGTGAGTTGGTGGTTGTGTCTGTTGGGTGAGTTATGTCAGTACTACCCTGTGGAAGTCTTTTTGCTGCTTTTCACTTCTCAGCACCACAGTGTTGCACGTCTTGTGGGAACACTCCTCCTCAGTAAACCATTTCCCCGGGATCCCAGATGGTCAGACAGAATTTCCAGAGGACTATTTTCATTTCTTTGTTCCCCAGTCTGCTAATGCAGGGGGAGTGTAAACAGACCCCAAAGTAAGATTCATGTATCTCACAACACGGAGCTATGCTGGCACCATACAAAAAGAAGGAATGCTTTCCGGAAGAGTTTTCTTACGTGTTTGGAACTGACTAATAAACAAACTTGGAAGGTGGTGATTCAGTGATCTGTTTAATTAGATGTAATCACCCTGTAAATTTCAAGGAGTTTTCTAACAGTAAGAATCAAATGCTAATATATTTTAATACTCATAGTACAGAAAAATATAACTTCGTCCCAGTTACTTAAATAAACAAAGAAAAATAAAATAATTCTCAAGAGGAAATATCCTAAGTAAAGGTGAAATGCAGGCTGATTAAATTACTTCATCCAGAAGGCAGATGTGGTCTACACCAGAAGAGTAAAATTAACTTGTATCACTCACGTTCTGATCAGTGCTGTTCTCAGAAGAAGATCCCAACTATGCTAGTCCTTGCAACTTCATTCTACCAGCTATCATTTATCTGTGATAACTCGCTGGACAAATACCTGTTTAGCAGATAATGCCACTGGCTTTTTTTCTGAAGGAAATATACTCCAGATAACACAGGGAAAGCCAAGGTACTGTAGGAAATTTGTATTTACAGTTATGACATTTCCTTCTTTTCCTTTTGTTGTCTCTTTCTGTGTATTAGGTATCGTTTAGCTCCTGAACACAAATACCCTGCCGCATATGAAGACTGTCTTAATGCTACCATACACTTTATGAAGAATATAGAGCACTATGGCGTGGATCCTGCCAATGTAATTGTCTGCGGGGACAGTGCTGGGGGCAATCTAGCAGCTGCTGTTAGCCAGACCCTTGCAAGTAGATCCGACCTCCCCAAACTACGTGCTCAGATCTTGATCTACCCAGGCCTTCAGGCACTGGACTTCAATTTACCATCCTATCAGCAGAATCGGGGAGTCCCTCTCTTATTCCGAGAACGTGCTGCTTTCTACCTGTTACAGTACCTAAATGGGAATGCATCAAATCTGGAAGAGGTCTTGCAGGGTTCCCATATTCCTATAGATATTAAATTAAATTATATGATAGGAAGTGGGTGAGTCCAGGTAACATCCCCGAAAAATTTAAGGTCAGAGGCTACAAACCACACAAGCCCCATGAATTCAAGGCTGAAGTTTTTGAGAAAGTTAAAAGATTCTTTGAGCCCAACCTGAGCCCACTGCTAGCTGAAGATGCTATTATTCACGAGCTGCCTGAGTCTTTCATCTTGACTTGTGAATATGACGTGCTAAGAGACGATGGCTTGCTTTACAAGAAGAGATTGGAGGACAATGGTGTTCGAGTCACCTGGTACCACCTTGAGGATGGATTCCATGGAATCATAAGCCTACATGATTTTTGTGGTTCCTCATTTCCAGCTGGGGAAAGGGGATTGGACAGAATTATTAAATTCATAAAAGGCCTGTAGACAGAACTTTCCTTCTTTCTGCTTCTCCCACTAATGTCTCCGTTTAGGCTCCCAAACCTCAGGTGGTACTTGTCAGCAAAAATGTGATACCCTTTGATGCGTAAAATACCAATTTTGATATTCAGGAACTTCAAATACTGTCTGAACACTGGTCTTTGTCCTCATGAGACTATTGACAATTCAGTCTTTACTGTTTTAATATTTCCCACATGCTGTCTTTCAATCCCTTTTCTTTAATTCAGCATCTGATTGATTCCTTGTATTTAATTACTGGATGATTTACTTCGATGTAAATAATGTCTGTGGAACGATTTGGATTAAATAACTCCTGTGAATTACAGTTATCCATTTGATAAGCTCCAAAGCATGACTTTATTTTATTTAGGTAAGAAGTACAAGTTAGGTACATAGTGAGGGAAGGAGGGAAGAGTTAGAGGAAAGCTCTGGAAAAACAGGCAGAGATCAAGGTCTCAGTGAGGAGATTCAACGTATATTCAGTGGGCATGGCAGAACCCCTCCTGCAAGAGCAGCAGTAGGAGGCCTGAGTTAATTGGGGACACCTTGCTGGAGGCAAGTAAGGGCTGCCCTGATTTTGAAATAACCGTAGCTCTACAAATTCCTACTTAATTTTGGGATTTCTCCACTATGCCCTCTGAAGCTGAGGGCAAGAGATACTGGTTGAGAGGGAACACTTACGTCAGGTTTTAGAAAGACAGTAAAGATCAGTGAACTGGGCTCTTGATCTGTGTTATACTGGAAGGTTTAGCTTAAGGAGAGAGAAAATATGAACCAAAACTTTTTCATGTTCTTTCAGAGAGTGGTTCCCCAGCATATTTTTTTTAGAATTTGTGCTGATGTTTCTCCACGTTTTGAGTTTTCTTTACAGGACAAGGCAGTGTATTCCTTGGCATGATGCTTCATTATACCCTGTTGATGAAAGCAAGGAAACACAGTGGTGAGCATACTCAAAATAGTAAGACTGAGAAAATGAAAATCCTAAGGAAAAAAAAAAATCCCAAGACTGAGGAAATCAGAAATTTTTACAAAAACAAATGCTGTCTTCCATTTAGATTTCACAGTGCAACGGCAGCCCTTCCTTTAGCTTCCTGCAGGCTGTCTTTAGACAAAGAATCCCTAA